GCAGGCAGGAGGCAACAAAAACACTAAAAATATCAATAAATCAGCATAAAGCTGCAAAAACAGGCGAGAAATCAGCAGGAAAACCTGAAAAACCAACAAAGCAACACAGTTCAAACATGTGTCAGCAGCCCTCCTCCCTCTGAGGACTCAGAACCAGAACCAGACTATGCACCAGCACCAGCAGCACCAGCAGCAGCACCGAGCCGTGGCGTCCTGCAGGATTCACACCTGGACGCGTCACGGAGGCCTCGGCGCGCGGGTCGTGATCCCGCCGGTACCGTACCTGGAAGAGGCGCAGGATGTTGGCCACCATGATGGACACGGAGCTGGCGGACGCGCCGATGACTCCCACAACTTTCTCGGGCTTCACGAACACCGGCGGCTCCCCGTTGGTGCAGCGGACGTCCGACGTGTCCTTCTGGATCAGCGCCTGCACGAACGTCAGCGACTGCTCCAGCGCGTACGTGTCCCGCGAGCAGGTGTCCAGGATCCGCGCGCCCAGGGTGACGTTGGGCAGCAGCTCGTCGTCGCCGTTGATCTGGTCCAGCGCGTACATCATCGCCTCCAGCCGGTGGATGCCGTTCTCCTTCTTGATGTCCCCGCACGGCATCCCCGGGACCCCCCTGGCGTGCACCGGGAAGAGCCCCCCCAGCGTCACGTCGCCCTCCACCCGGATCGAGTGCGGCGCGTAAATCTCCTGGGAGCCGGCCAGGTCCAGCAGGGCTTGGAGCAACCACAGGAGCCGGAGCAGCCGGGGGGGTCCGCCGGAGCGCCGGGCCATGACGCTGAAACCGGGGAAACGCAGAACCGCCGCACTTCTCGGGAGAGTTTCAGAAATCCAACAGTTCATTCCCAGAAAGAAAAAACCAAAGACACCCGCTCAGGACGCAGTAATCCCGCAGGTGAGAGCTCCAGCATCCGCGCCGAGGATTCACCAGCGCGCTATCCGTGTCAGGCGTGCGCAGAGCCGCCGCCGCCGCCGCTGCTGCTGCTGCTGCACTCTGCCGCCGCCGCTTGTTGCTCGTGATCCCATTCCAGCGCGGAAGAAACGACGAGGGGGGAAAAAAGCGCAGCGTTCAGCGGGAGAGAAGCGCTCCGTGAACTCCGTCCGCCGTGGAGAGGAGAAGAAAGAAAAAAAATAAAATAAAATAAAAAAAATAAACCCAGCCAGCCAGCCGCGTCCGGCGCTGATGTCACATCACAGAGACGCGGCGGAGGATGAAGAACCTGAGCGCACCTGCGGATCCGCGTCACACACCTTTAACGGCTCCCCGAGAAGCAGGACGCGAAACGCGGGCGGTGGAGGGAGATAAAGCTGCGAGCCGAGCCGTGGGTGACACCTCCTCACCCGCTCCTCACCCCCTCTTTCCTCCTCCTTCTCCTGCTGCTCCTCCTGCTGCTGCTGCTTCACCGCGGTCACCTGTCTGGGAGGAACCGGAGACGCGCGGCTGTTCGGCGTCTCTGCGCTCCGAAAGTGTCCGAACGTGGTGAGCGGAGAGCGGGCTGAGAGTCCTGACGGAGCCGGAGGAGCGGAACCCTGCCTCTCTCGACCATCCACCAGCTCTCTCTCTCTCCCTCTCTCTCTCTCTTTTTCTCACACACACACACACACACACACGCACGCACAGTCGCGCACGCACCGCCACGCACGCGCTCACTCCACCCACGCGCGTTTGTGTAATTATCAGTGTGAGGCTCCTGCTGCCAAAACAGCCCCGAACACGCGCAAATGAACAGAACCGGCGCTTCAGTTATTATGAATGACCGCGTCAGACTCCTGCTGCATCACTTCACTTCATCTGGCTGCTTATAAAACACCAACTCCATGAAATCTGGCACAAAAAAAAAAACCGAAATGTTTGGACGTGACCAGGGCCGGATTCACCTCCTCAGAGGCCTCCGGGGCGAAAACCGGGCCCCCAATCACCCCCCAACACTTGTTCCTGATCCTGTTGTCCCCAGAAATACATTGAAGCAGTCCTGTTGTCCAAACCTGCATCTTGGCGTCTCACAAGCAGTCCTCACTGCAGAACCGTCGACCAAATCATCATATTTTCTGTGTCAGAAGCTGGTTTCTATCTGCTCTGCTCCCCAGATCAGAACCGAGACACTTCAGCTTTAAGCCAGTCTGGTTGGTTTCATTCAGCAGGTTTGCATTTTTACGATTACATCCCAAAGAATTATTAATATCTATTTAAAACTGAGCCATAAATCATCCGGTCTGCGCTCAAAACTGCAAACATTTCTTATTGGGCTTCAATTAAAGTTTCACTTCAGGCAGAAAGTTTTGTGAGTTTGCAGATTTTGATCCACATTTAAAGTTTTTTTTTGTTAAATGATCACTTTCTGGTGGAAGTCTTGTCGTATTAAATTCAGTTTAGTTGTATTTTACTGTAATTTTCTCACGGCGAGGTTGAAAAACACCAGGAAGCGGTGCATATTTTATAGTTTCCTGACAGTAAATTCAACGTGTTAGATTGTTGCTGTGACACAACAAAGCTTTTGCACATTTATCTGGAGGGAATAAAAGTATTTTTTCACTGTTTTCTCTCATTAATTTAACAATTACTAAAGAAAATAGCCGCGCCGATAATGGAAATAGCGTTTTCTTGCAGGCTTGCGGGTCTCCGGTGACGGATTAATTCGACCTTACAGAAGGTTTGTTAATTACTGGACAAAATGAAAAAACTTTAACGCTCAGCGACACCTGAAATAATTCAGGTCTTAAGCGGCGGCAGCGGGACCTCCTTTCTAATTATCCACAGAAGGAAAACATTAATTTATCATTTACTGCAAAATATTTATGAGGCAAAAGTGTTGGGCGAGCATCACGTCAGCATTTATTATAGATGGTTTTGAACTCGTGCTCGGGTTGGTCTTCCTCCTTCTTGACCTCGACCTGCTCTCGGATTAACGTGGCGGTGTTTTTTTATTTATTACGGCTTCGTGATAAGCCACTTTCTTTCCCTTCATTGACTCTCTGTGGCTCAATAACTGGAGAGAGAAGCTTGAGGTTGAAAGGTTTTCCTCTTTAATCTCTTCGTGCAGCGACGTTCGGCTCCCAGTGCTCCTGCAACGCCTGCAGCTCGCCGTTTTCTTCAACATTTATGTAGTTGCGCACCGCGGACGTGACCCCCAGAGTCGGACTGTCGAGGCAGGGTTCATCCTGGAGGCGTCTGAGGGAGAGCGTTTGGATCGAAACACCTGAACCGCTGTCGGTGCAGCAACTGTTCGGCCAGTTACGATGTGTTGAACGGTTTCTTGGCCGCAACAACACAATTCTCACTTTCCACCTCCTCAACCTGCTAAATGTGTCTCCCTGTGACTTCCTCGTCTTCCACAAAATGAAATGCAGTCGAAGTTTCTGAGATTCAACACTCATCATAGACGATACTGAGCATGTTTGCAGAACTTCCAGTGAAAGTGTTGCAGGAGCACTGGGAGCAGAGTATCGCTGCACAAGAAGCCTACGAAGTGCAACCAAAAAGTTCACAGAAATCCAACAACTTTGCCCCTAACTACCACTAGTGACGTAGTTTTATTGTGCGGTGACACTCTTGCTCCCAGTGCTCCTGCAACATCTGTAGCGCTCCCTGGCAATCCAGGTGTGTAAATACATCAACAACCATCTGCAATAGGCGTTTAATGTCGACTTGAGTTGTAGTTTGGGGAAGAGGAAGAAGTCGCAGGGAGCCAAATCTGGCGAGCGGAGCAGGTGGAGAGCAACGATTGTGTTGTCGTGACCAAAAAAAAACTGCAAGAAACTCTGAGCGGGCATGTTGGCACGATGGCATGAAAAAGGGGATCTTGAACAAAACAAAGAAATCTGATGCTAAATTCTGTCCAAAAAAATTATCTGCAATCACTTGAACCTCGTTCCAAATGACTCAAAATTAGTTTAACATGACAAAAACTAGCACGACATGATTCTGAATTTACCAAAACTCAGCTAAAACTGCCCAAAGTAATTTAAAAATTAACAGGAATTCATATTGTCCAGATCGCAAACGCAAGTAGTCAGAACAGGACTTCCAGGGAGAACTCCAAGTGTTGCAGGAGCACTGGGAGCAGAGCATCGCTGCTGCACAAGACGACTACAAGGTGCAATCACAAAGTTCAGAGACTGTGCCTGTAGAAAATCAAAAACCACACCTGAACCACTGTCCACCACTGTTGACGTAGCTTCATTGTGCAGTGAAGCTCTGCTCCCAGTGCTCCTGCAACACTTGCCAAGACATCTGCCACGGGCCGTTAACCTCCAAAACTGAATCAAAACAGCGAATCTTAACCTTGGATTTCATTTTCAGAAAGAGGAAGAAGTCAGAGGTTGAAAAATCCGACGGTGCCAGTTTGTCGTTGAGTCCAAAAACAACAAAATGACTCAAAATGTGTCCAAAATAACAAAAACTAGCAAAAGATGACTTTGAAATCTGTCAAAAATTAGTTAAAAATCATCCAAAGTAACTCACGCATTCACAGGAATTTATGTTGTCGCTATGATGTGATATTCGCGCTCTGCTCCAGTTTCAGCTTCACGGTGAAATCGCAAATGCAAGTCGCCAGTTAACAGGATTTCTGAGGGTTGCAGGAGCGCTGGGAGCAGAGCATCGCTGCACAAGGAGAGTACTTCAACATGGATGGCTGCCAAATGGAAATCAGGTATCTCACTACTGATAATATAAAGATTAACGGACTCTTCTGGCTTAAATTACACAAAACTGAGCTGCAGTGAAGCTAAAGCGCCCCCTGCTGGTGATATGCGACAAATTTTACATTGTTGCTGCATTAACGAAGGTGTGATTTGCAGCCCATTTGTTGGACCGCAGCGCCCTCTACAGGACCAGAACCACATCATGCAACCTGACTGCTAGCTGAGAGGGAGTCGAAAATTTAGATCTAATGTCGATGCAAGTTGAAAAATAAACCCATCTGTTCCCTCCGTGCATGCAGAATGACTCACAAAGGAGTCGCAGAGTCGCCTCCCAGCGACACGTTTATCGGCGGTGTTTCTTTGTGGTAGCTTCCATCACATTCCGCTGAAATTAGCATAGCTCCCATTAGTCCCTGTTGGGCGTAGCGCTAGCAGCAGAGCCGGTGACAAGTTAACCTGCGTTTGACCCACGTTTGAGTGGCATCAAACAGCCAAGCGATGACAGGAAGCTTCCCCGCTTTAACCGCAGTCGCTGGATGAAAGCCAGATTTTAGTAAAAACACCTCGTCCCGCAGCGCTGACTTTGGCAAACTGGAGCCAATTAAAATGCGGGACGTCGTCTAAATACGATAAAGTCGAACGCCGCAGGAACGCGGGATGCAGGAGGCGACGCTTCAGAGCTGCAAATTTCTACAACAAAACCAATCAAATCATGAAATTATACGGCGGGAGAGAGTCTCCGGGAAGCTTCCTGCTTTGAGTTTAACAGATTTTTTTTTTTCTTTATCAGCTCTGTATCACTTCGGCTCAATCACAAAACACCAACCTGGTTTACTGTTATTTACACACATTTAAAAACGGCAACCAAAGTGTTTTTCCAGTAGAAAAATAAGAACAAAACTTCCCCGATGAGTTTAAATATTGAGGTCCTGCAATATAATATATGGAAATAAAAACCCAAACCCAAGATTCCCTTTAAGAAGCAGATTAGTGACAGAGATAAATGTTGTTTTTTTCACGCATTAATCATAAATATCCAATAATTACCCCATCAGTTATATAATATCAGCGGTGGAACAAGTATTTAAAGCATTCAAGGATGTAAAAATAGCAACAGCACACTAATTAAA